TGTTTAAAATGGACGGTATTTGAGATCCATTTTGCTTCTTGCCTTTTCATTTGCTATTTAATGTTATAGCCATAATTTAATTTTATTTTTTGGTTGTATGGATTAGCTTATCTGATTTGCTTGTTTTGTGCAACTGCGAATGGTTGTTGTCCTTTGACTTAGTTTTGAAGAATGTGAACCTCAGGCTGTGAGGTAACCTGGGAACTGGGAAGGGTATGTCTGTCTTGGAAATGGTTGCAGCATTCGAGAAGGCATCCGGGAAGGTAAAGTTTACGATTTTTACTGCTTTGTTGATATGCACAAATGTGCAGCCCTTAAAAACATGATTAAGGCTCACTCTTGTGGATATTTCTTTTTAATCTTTTATTTGATTGCATAGGACTAATTAAGGCCACACTTGGTTTGCTGACTGACTAGATTAGGCTAGCCGAGCTATATACCAATTAATACAGCATGAATAATTATTATTAGATATCACATTTTTCTGTGTTTGGTTTGCACTGGATAAAGATTTGGATAATGTTTATAATCCTGACAAAGTTTTATCTAGCGTTAGTTCTCTCAACCAGAATTGTTAAATGTATAGAAGTTGCATCTTTGCTCTAGGGATAAGATGATGATTGTTTAATGTTTGATATACTAACTAGAACATGCAGCTCAAATTACTTGCTTCTTTCTTTTTCATTTTTTTCCTGCTTCTAGAAAATCCCTATTGTGAAGGCAGGTCGACGTCCAGGTGATGCTGAGATTGTATATGCCTCAACGGAAAAATGCTGAACGAGAGTTGAAGTGGAAGTAAGTGGATAACTCAATCAATGCAGGCAAGATTACTTCTATACGTTCAGAAAGATTGATAAAACAAAACAAAAAAAATTCTCACTACCAAATTCATTTCAGGGCAAAATATGGCATTGACGAGATGTGCCGGGATCAATGGAATTGGGCCAGCAAGAACTTATATGGCTACGAGCCTTCGCAGCCGACTAAGTAACTGACGACTGGTTGACATGTTGACACATAGATGCATGAGAAGGTGCCTTGCCTTTTTTGTAAAATGGTAATAAGTGTGCTATTATTTTGACTAAATGAATTTACCTCCATTTTCCGAGGTGAAGAAAGTTGTTTTATGGTAATGTTCTGCTTCGATGCTCTACGAGGTCAAGCAAACATATTTATTTGTTATGCTACAGCTTATTTTCTTATTAAGTCTCTGTTTGTTTCTCATTCTTTCTTCATTAAAATGAAAAATATGATCTTTATCCATCACATCAAGCCACCAAATTTGAATTTCTATCTCTTGTATGAGATATATAACGGCTATATTTTTCATTCTTATTCTTACAATAATGGGAAACAAACACCCCCTAAGCAAATATTAAAACCGAGGAAATAGTAGCCTAAAAACTCGTATGTTGGCATAAGTGAAAAATAAGTTATGCTAATAAAATAAGGAAAAAAGAAAGAAGCTCAGCTTGTATCCCTCGGAAGGAGCCGTGGAAAAATGAATCATGTTATTTGTACATTGATTGTTTACATCTCTGTTGGTATTCAATGATGTGTAAAAATTTGTGTCATTGATTGTTTCAAGTATTGTTAAAATCAATGGCAAAATGTTGACGGCCAAATTATACATGTAGCTAAACTATGGAAAAATGATACAATGTCAACTGGCCTGGCCCCCATTCGCTGTCCCATGACAACACCATCACCACTACACCCCGCCTCCAATTAAAACCCCATATTTAACCTGAATATTCTGCAGAGTAAACTACTTATTCACATATCATTTTAAACCATAAAAATCATGCCGGATTTTGGAATTCTTTCAATGGAAACTCATTAAGAAATTATTAAAAATTTAAAAATTTAACTCTACTCTTCTTTTGCATTATGTGACTAGATTATTTGTCCGTTATTTATGTAGCAACCAACTTTTGTTTGTATTTTGAAACATTCTCAAAACGATAGTTTAAACACAATCTTTTATGTTAGATAAAAAAAAAAAAAAAAAAAAAAAGNAAAGTCGCTGCCATGTACTCAGTCTTGCCGGCGTCAATCTTTCCGGCGGGGATGAACATGAACCCCACCTGAGTTCCTGCGTATAGGAGCTGCAGTGAGCTGTCGTAGTGGGTGAAAACTTCTCGGTTGGGGTTGTTGACGTTGGCATACTGGGAGAAGGTGAAGTTGAAGGTACCTTTGCCGGCAGAAAAGGAGGGAAGCTGCACGGCGGTGACGGCGAGCTTCGGCTCTTTGGGTTTAAAAAGTGTGAAGTAAATTATTAGGATTAGAATGAGTAGAAATATCAAGAAAATGGTTGCTACAATGCATGAGGCTAAATTTGTGCGGCCATTTGGTGGCTTGTGAGGATTAGATTTGGCCATTTCTAATTCTCGAGAACAGTTACTATTTGGATCCTATAAATGCCTGCAATTAGTGTTTTTGAGATTGTTATGGCAGTGTGAAAATGAAGACTTTCTTGAATTGCTGTGTGTGACTTTCGTCCATGCACTGAGCCATCTATTATTGGCTTTTTGTGTTATGGGACAGAAATTTGTCCTTTGACTTGAGGGCTTTATGGCGAAAAAGGGACTAAATTCAAAAAATTCATTTTTGACTACACGTGCTAAGAGTCTCTTGAAGATGATTTAACGATATACTTTTCACACTTTTTAATTATACATTTTCCAAAAGAATTAAATTTCACTTCAAATAATCTCTCACAAAAAAGAATACTTGGGGATTACAGGCAATTAGCAAATGGTGGGATCATAGAAGTTGGAGAGAGAGAGAGGTCATAGGGGAGGCGGGATGGGGGGGGGGCACATGATGTGAATTCATGTAGCAACAATGGCTACGAAACCCATAACGAGATTGAAACCGGATTTCAAGAATGCCAACAAGCAAGGTTTGGGATTTAACCCAAAACTTATAAACCAAGCAACCAACAAATAAGAATTTGTCGACCTCTTGATCACACAATTAGTGAATCTCATCCGGATTTGTGAATGCCACAAGAATGACTTTTTGATAAATTCGATAATTTTGTTCAATCCAGAACAAAATATTTTTGAAGCAAAGCTTCTCGAGAAAACCCTCTAGTTCAATTCATGTCAAAAGTCTTCTCTACAATGAAAGAAATAAAACATATTTATACTATACCCTAATAATGTAGTAAAAACAGAAAATAACTACTAAAGATTACGTAGTATCAAATAAAATAGAATTATATGGAAATTAGATAACTTGCGAAAATTTAGAAGATTCGTCCCTGGACTTCAACTATGCGACCGCAAGGAGTACTTGGGTGAGATCGCATGGCTCAAACAGTCTGCCCCTGTTTGTTCTCTGCCACCACGCATGTGGCCGCATGATAATTTAAGCCAGGCAGTCACATGGCTTTACATTCAGCCTTCTTCGCCTTTTGCTCGAACCAAGCTGCTCCAATTAGGGTTGGGCAAATCTCCCGAACCAAACTGATCGAACCGAACCCGAATCAAATTGAATCGAACCCGACGGTTCTTGTCAAATTAATTACCCGAACGGGTATCTGAATTGAGAACCGACAAGTACAGTTCGGTTCTTCGGTTCTAAGAACCGAAGAACCGAATCTTTCTAATTTTTGTTATATTGAAAAAATCAAATTATTTTAATTTTAATTTTTTCTAAACAAATTAACAAATTAAAAATTTCTAAATCCAAATTTTTAGCCTAATAATTTGTTTTATTTCTAATTTTTTAATTTTTGGCCCAATTATCCATTTATTGTTTCATTTCTTAGCCCAACAAGATCCAACCCACTAAATAACCCTAAACACCTACACTAAAGTGCATAACGTTGTCTCGACTCTTGCACTCACTCTCACAGCCTCGCTGACATTCCAAAACCTATACAATCGCCGACTGATGTTTTGACCTCCAACCAAAGCTGTGACCTCTGTCGATTGAAGCTTTGATTGTAGCGATCATTTGAATAAGGTAGTCTACTAGTCTCTGACATTCCAAAATCATTGAATGTGTCATTAGTTGTATTAATATAATGTTATTATAAATGTTAAAAAATTTAATTATAATATGGAACCGAACGGGACCAAACCTGAACGGTTCCATAATTATATTTGGACCCGACAGTTTCATTTACTAGATACCCAAAAATTTTGATTTGGTTCGATTTTCTTTAGAACCGAACCGAATCCAATTGATTTCGGATCCCGAGCCCTTCACGTAACTTGTTGCTTGGCATGCCGACTTCAACATTTTGAATCCTATACTTTGAACATAATTGCACAGGTTTTATCATCCCCTTTTAAGCTCGAATTGGTCCTTAGCCTCTTGCCAACATACTTGGAATTATTGAAAGTTTCTACCCCCTTGAATCGCATCATCTCCTCTCTCTTCAAAAGGATTCAAACACGAATCTGGAACTTCAAGAACACAATTGTTTCCATGGATTTCTAGCCTTGCAATGTCGTTGAATGGACCGTCTCCTTTCGGGTATAACTTTGTTCTTCTCTACAAACGATCACACCCCTTTTGCCGATTCTTCTAGGCTCAATCACCAGGTCTGAATATTTTACGCCTTTTTTATTCACTGCCTTGGAACGAACACAACTCCATTTTCGGCTTTCCGTCTGCTAGACCATTATCCCTCTTATGTGTGGTATATTGATACTCCGTCATGTCATTGTTGAATGATCCTTAAATGCACATAAGATTCTCCATTTGCAATGCATCAATCGTATTTTCAAAGGGTGACATTCCTAGAAGGAAGTCTTCATACAACAAATTTTCATATTCCTGCATCAAAGATACATTCAAACTAGGGAGGGATTTGTTAGTCATCACCGAATCACTCTTAGGCTCACTCTTTTTTGCATAGAAACTCACTTGGCAATTTTCTCTCTTCTCAGGCTCTCTTTCTTTTCTCTCTTGTGGCCCTGCTCTAATTTTCTCACACTTAGCCACCTCATTATTTTCTCTCAAACTCTCCTTTTGCCTTTCTTTCTTCCTCACCTCTCAATTTCATTCGATCTTCATATACCTGCTGTGGTATTAAAGGTACAAGAGTAATAGATTTTCCATCTTTGTCAAAGTTGTACCTATTTCTAAACCCATCATGTTTTACTTTCCTATCATACTGCCACGGCCCACCCAACAAAATATGTCCAACATGCGAACACTTCATCTTTATACGGCCCAATAGAAAAGCTCACTAATACTATCTTATTCACCTTAACCTCTTTACAATCATCCAACCATGTAAATTGTAAAGTTTAGAGTGTTTTGTTGTAATCAAAACTAACTTCTCAACAAGCACGATACTAGGTATATTAGTGCAACAACCTTCATCCTGAGGTGAATCCATGTAGTAACGGCGTTTACGAATCCTACAACGAGATTGAGATCGGATTCCAAGAATGCCAATAAGCAAGGTTTTGAATTTAACCCAAAACTTACGAACCAACAAACAAAAATTTGCCGACCTCTTGATCACACAATTAGTGAATCTCTCCTGGATTTGTGAACGCCACAAGAATTACTTCTTGATAAGTTCGATAATTCTGTTCAATCCAGAACAAAAGATTTTTGAAGCAAAGCTTCTTGAGAAAACCCTCTAATTCTATTCATGTCAAAAGTCTTATCTATAGTGAAAGAAATGAAACATATTTATAATAAACCCTAATAATATCGTAAAAACGGAAAATAACTACTAAAGATTACATAGTATCAAAAAAAATAGAATTCTATGGAAATTAGGAAACTCACGAAATCTAGAAAATTCGTCCCCAGACTTCAACTAAGCGACCATAAAGAGTACTTGGGTGCGGTCGCATGGTTCAAACGATCTACCCCTATTTGTTTTTTGCCACCATGCATGCGATTGCATGGCTTTACATTCAGCCTCCTTCGCCCTTTGCTCGAACCAAGCAGCTCCAATTAATTTCGAATCTCGAGCCCTTCACATAACTTGTTGCTTGGCATGTTGACTTCAACATTTTGAATCCTATACTTTGAACACATAATTGCACAGGTTTTATCATCCCCATTTAAGCTTGAACTGGTCCTTAGCCTCTCGCCAACATACTTGGAATTCTTGAAAATTTCTACCCCCGGATCACATTAGCACAGAGTATAGGAATGGAGAGTGGAGATAGAAAGGAAAAAGTTAGGAAAGAAATGAAAAGTGAGGCATCTAAAATAAGAAAAGTGTGCTAGGAAATATGAATCAATAGAATCCATAGGAAAAGAGAAAGCAGTGTATTTTCATCAAAATATAAATATAATTTCATGTAAATTAAAGGAAAAATAATGTAGAAGTGAGTGAAAATATTTTCTTTTAATAAATTGCTTATATTTTGGGGATTGCTTATACGTGTCAAGAATCAAAATAAACATTCATCACATTCATGATGGAATATGCTGAATCCAAAAGAAGAGATAAAAGCAATTATTTTCAGCCATTAAGGCTTTGATAGCGGAGAAATAACAATCGAAAGTTAGACTTAAATAATGATAAAATAAATAAGTTCTTTTATTCATAATTTGATTTTCGTTAAATATTTCAGTAGTGAAGCTGGCTCATACAATGAAGAAGCAAGAAGAAAAGATGGAGAAAAAGAACTTAGAAATATATAACTGAGTCTCGAACCAAAAGAGAACAAAGTCTCATCTTTGTCATCCCAGCTTCAATCCATTCCTATGGACTGGTCATTCTATATATACAAATACACATATGATAAGTGTGTTTTTGAACACTTATTTAGATCCCAAATATGACTTAATTACGAGCAAAATGTTTAAATTGTGGCTTAATCTCGTTTTAGAAGAAAAAGAGAGATTTTGAAGGAGAAAACGAAGAGAGAACAAGAGGAAAACATTGCGCCAATTGAAGAATTGATTGAAACTTGATTTGGGTGATGACGTTTCTTCAACTATATTTGTATTTTCTTCTTTTTAGTATGTTAGGCTAGATTTTTCATTTACTAGGAGATCAATGAATCTTACAATACTACTTTTGATTTTTGAATTGGAGATTTGACATATTTAAGCACATGTTCCGGAATTGAATGATTTATACGTTTTTATTTTTATATTATTATTGTGCACGTAATTATATAATTTTGGTGGCCTATTTTATGCATTCGAAAGAAGGAAAATAGGCTCGACATGGTATAAATCATCATAGGGTCCGATAGGGGATATAAATATACCTCTATGCCTCGTGTGAATTGTTGAATATTCATGAAATCATAATGTATTCCTGTATGTTAGTATTCGTCATAGAGATATAATCGAATCACATATTGGGATAGGTTTGGCATTGCTCGAGAGAGATTGCTAAATTAAGATAGGAATATTGATTCATCAATTGTGGGAATGTGTGTCAAATTTGCATAATTAAAAGTTGAACGGGTGTTACTTAGGAATTCGTGATCCTAGTACGTTAGTAATTCATTAATTCCATAAATGATCGTAGATTGCATCCAGATCATTTTGTGTTTAGTATAAGTTTCTGACTCATA